ATGAATGTGAAACCATAAGAGTCACATTGAACCATTTACGTAAAACTCAAAACAGTAACATATAAGTGGAACCATTGAAATACAAGTGGAATCCTAGATAGATGTATATAACTGGAAAAAAAAACAGATCTGTACAACCACTGACAGATATGTGAAACCATAAATATACCAATGGGACCCTCAACAGAAACGTGGGACCCTAAACAGACAGGATATGCCTGGGGAACCATTGACTTACGAGTGATAAAGGCTCATCATGTATGTCATTATCAAATGAGTGAAACCCTAAACAAATAATTTAAACTGATAACAGAAATGTGGAAACAAAAAACATATGAATTAATTTAGAAACAGCCATGTAAAATCCAAAACCATAGAGGTGGAAACATAAATAGACACGTGGAACACTAACACAAGTGAAACTATTAACATACAAATGGAAGCATAATCAGACACTCAAAACCATTAACATACAACTGGAACCCTAAAGAAACATGTGGAGCCATTAACAGACATGAGAAACCTCCCCCCCCACCCCCCAAAAAGAAACCAATACCATAGAAATTGGAACCGTTAACAGAAACGTTCAATTATTGTCATATCTATGGAACTCTTGACAGACACCTGAAACCATTAACATACAAGTAAAATTCTAAACAGACTCGTGGAACCATTATAGTATAAGCGGAGCCAAAACAAACATGTGGATCCCTAAACAGACACATGGGACCATAAACAGACATGTATAGCCAAATAACAGACATATGGAACCAATAACATACAACTAGAACCATAATGAGAGAAATGAGACACTAAGCAGACATGAGGAACTTTCTACAGACATGGTTTGAGGACATCTCAAGGACTGACCTCTGTGACGGCGAATACTCGGTTCCCACAAGGAACTACTTTGTACCACTTGTCATGCAGCAAGTCCATGTAACCTTCTGACTTGTACCTGCTGATGAACTCAGAGATGTTGGAACTCAGAGGAGAGTTCTGGGGTAGTCCGATACCGTAACCTGGCAATGACACATAGTAAGATCAGTCATAATCAACAGCACCAGTACTCTATTAGTATTAGACTGCTAATGCTTAGTGGGACAGTATCGATTGTAAAACATGGATTGGAGGTACAGCTTTAGATTCATTAGGGATTTCCATGAATTCTCTTTACTTATTAATTGGGAGGCTGGCAGTACCATGTCAAATAAAAGTAAATTATTGGACAAGTTTCATCTCTCTGATTGGACTATCCTCTGAATCTCAAGGACAGACGCACCTTCGATGGCGAAGGGTTTCCCAACGGTTGCCAGTTTACAGTCTGCATCGATGGAAACTTCGTAATCCAGGAGGGCTTTGTCCATGATGAAGGCATCCAACTGAGGAGGATCTGTCCTACAACCCAGAGAGACATGGTTATACGATGCTCTAGATACTCTGTTAGTAATTTTGAGGATCAGAAACACATCATGGGTCCGTTTCAAGAAGCTGGTTTAACAAATTCAGATTTTACTTTGCCACTCTTAATTGATCTAGCCAGGAATGCCAGGAACTCTAAGTTTTCGCTTTCACAATGACTGCTATGAATTAGTTGAATCAACTCTAAGTATGTCCACTCAGAGTTGAACAAGTGTGTAACGATTATGAAAAGCCATTATCAGCGTGGACTAGATTTGACGAATCACCATGACAACAGGCAACAGGAAGGGCCTGTTTCACCCCACTGAGACTAGAGATTTTAATGAAGAAAAAAAAATGGAGAATGTGTCTAAAATACAGAGAAACAGCACTACAGCTGTAAAGGTGAGGAAGATGGCGAAGGAGTGTTGCTCGAGTTAACGTGCAAGTTTATATGAATTCCCTGTGGCAGACCTTTTTACATTTATAAAGAGCAACTCTCATCCAGAGTCCTGCATGGGTTAGATTTTTCAAAACTATAACTGCCCGCCCCCGTTGGGGTCAGAATTGAGACCCGACCCATTACCAACAATTATTCCCATTTAAAACCTGGCCGTACTGTGTGGATCGTTAAATAACAAAATGCAACCCGACAAATGATCACATACTGTATACACAGCCAATAACAGAGGCAGAAAAGATTATTGCCTCCAGTACACGCTGCGCTCACAGATTAAGAGTTGTAAAATCAATCTAAAATCAGATTCTTCCTAATCACGACCCCACTCCTAGACTGAACTGTAAAAATTAATATTTTACGTTTTTGCAGAAAGTAAATAAAACAAACTTATACTAGTAAGTTTTACATACCTAGAAATGTTTACGCATTTTAAGTGGCCACTTTGATATTTATCAGCCTAATTGAATATGTATTTATGATATCTGAAATACATTTCTTAATAGTGAGAATAAAACAGGATGACCGCTACCACAGGAATATGGAGATCTGAAATTAATTTCTAGACATCCAGAATGTTTATTCTAGATGTGAATAATGTCATTTTGTTTGAAATATCATTTTGACAAGGCAAAAATGTTTCAGATATAAGGAATACATATTCAGTAAAACTAATACATATCCAAATAGCGTGCCATAGCCTGCTGAAACCACGATAACATTTTATTTCTAGTTTATTTCTTGAATTGCATCTGGCAGCAGGTGAAGATGAAGTCTAAACACGTTCTAATAGATAGGACCTGTGCATCATCTCATGGCATTCCTCCTCATGTCATTTCTGCCTTCCATTACAAATTAAATACTAAAGCCAGGCATACACTGTTCAAAATTCTCAATCGTTGCACACAGCTACAGCTGTAACTGTATGAGGAAACTGCATGGTTTAAAAGTTCTTGGGATCTAAAAACCACACAGCGTCCAGAGATGGCGCTCGTCAGACTGGTCAATCTGGAAGAAGAACTCCCTTGTTTGCACATACGCAGTGCTTGAGGTCCTGGTAAATCGGCTCATAGCTCTGCTTCAACAGTAAGATTCACGACAGCTGAGTGAATTTCAAAGGTGTTTGACTTTCTCCTGACCTTACGATTCCTGATCAGGAGGTGGTCTGGAGAGGCTGATCGCTTCTCGTTGCACACTGGAGAATTGTCCCGAAAAGGGCAAAAAAGTTTAAATGGCCGTTTGCAGCTGCTTCGGATTTTATCATCCCAATAAATGATCGTTATTAGTGTTTATCAGTCCCATAGAATAGCTTCAGATCGTGCCAGTTGGCTCAGTAGGTTGTTATCACATAGTCAATCCCAATCTTAAAGGTAATTCCTTTTCTCCCTGTGGAATTAATTCATCTTTTTATGTATAATCTGAAAATAATTTCAGTAGTTCTTCATGTACTCTAAAAATAAATTCATAAACATAAAATGATCTACATGTTTCTCATATTAAACAAACAAAAAATAAATAAGACTCATATCCTTTAAACTCTGTTGTAGAATCCTCTTCCTATAAATATTTAATTATCTTTGAATTAATGCCGATCATTCTTTATTAAGACCTTTGTCAAAGGCCATGCAATGTTTGTTTTTTTAAGAACAAAACTACATAAAATTCTCCTGACTAAACCAGGTTAGCTCTGGTGAGAATGTTATTAAAGTGACTGAAACAGTGGCTGAGTGAACGCTCTTTGTGAAACAGAAAACTCCAGGTTTCCCACATTTCGGGTTTAGAAAACAGAGTTAACTTTTCAGTAAACCTGCCTTGTGAAACGGATCCCATATTTGCAACAAAACCACAGATCTTCCTGAGTCAAAATGAAGACACTTGTTGGACTCTTACTTTAGGGTGGCAACACCGTCAGGCGTTGTCGGTTCGTTGAAGCGTCGCATGTACTCGTGCATTTCTGGGAAGCTCTTCTTCATGTAATCTTCCGCGCTGCTCTCTCTCACCGTACCAAAGCGGAAGCCATGTGATGGGTGGTGCAACTGGACACAAACAAAGAACAAACATAGAAAGAAGAAAGAATACCTGTTCTGAGGCAGAACTAAAGTTAGTTTAAGGACTAAAGTATACAACGTGAGAAGAGAAAACACAAGAATGAGTTTGAAATAGGATTCAATTTATGTAATAAGTCACTTTAAGATAGAATTGAGATATGAAATATATGAAGATATGAAAGTATCCAAATCCAGTACAAGCTGAGCTGTTTGGCTATTGTGAGCTGAGCTCTGGGATCATCCATTGACTTCATGAAGATCCAGAGAGGTTCAGATGGGGAGGGTGAGATCTAAAAGTTTATATATTGTCTAAAGAGACAAATCCGCCGAAAATACATTTTTACAACCAGAATGTTTGCAAAAATTTTCCATATTAGACAAAAAACTACCAATTCCCCCTGATTAAGAACTAGTTGAGCCCAAACCATCCACTCCATTACCACCAAATCCATAACAATCTGATCCAGAACCCTGGTTGGAGAACCTTCAGATAGAGCGTCACTTATTCCAGAACCATCCTTCACCCTTATTACTAATTTTTTATCCAACTCTTTTTTTAATCACTGTGCAGGTAAAAACACTACTGATGCAAATACACATTTTATGCTGATGACAATTTAGTTCATGACAATTTAGTTTACTGCCATGCTGTTCCTGAGGTGCTAGAGTGTCTGCAGTTTTTGTTAGTCTTCTCAGTCTGAGTTGTTCCATCTCAGATTTACCCTAAAGGCTGAAAAGAACAGGGTCAAAATTTCTCACTCCACGCTGTAATACTGTGATGCTTAAAGGTCACCTGACTGCCATTAGCAGTCCACAGACTCATGTGTACATTTTTATTCTCTCACTAAGATAGTCCATTAAAAGATCTCTCCCTTAGGACTTTCATTTTTTCAGGCGCCCTGTTAATACGATCAGAGCTTGTTTAATACCGATTACCCAGTGATTCCAAATCCTCCACTACTGTATGTCTCAGTTCTTTCTCTGTGTGCTCCTTATAAGCAATGCCTGTTACATCCTCTGTAACACAGTTGAGCTCCACTCCAAATTCCCTCCAATGTGAAGAGAGCCTGTGTGAGAGATGCCATTAGAGCCAAACAAACCGAATTGACAAAGAACGACAGAGAGGGGATCCATCCATGCTGACATTTGGAGAGGTCAGAGAATGTGGAACTGCTCTCATTAATTTACTGTTGTAAATGAGACGATGGATCTCAATATGACAGCCTGTATAAAAAAGGTTAAGTAAAATAAATTATAGATACTTATTTGGAAGATCTGTCAGGATTACAGTAAGTAGAAGCTACCTTTCTTATGCACCATGCCTTGAGACCTTCTATAGATGCCTGTAATATACTCTGTCACATGTTAAGCAATGATGCTAACTGAGTTTCTGTCTGTGGGGATGCCCTGCTCCTATCATAAGTCCAACCTTTCTTCTGCGATGGGCCCTGTAGACGTCTGTAAGATGTTTCCACCTACATCTGGTAACAGCACAACATGTCCAATTTTTATGTTCCTGTAAAAGGCTAAAACATGACCACTGTGCTTCAGACATCTCTTTCTCTCTGGAAAGGTTGGAGAGAGGAGTGCACCACTGCGAGCCAATGTTCATGCAGCAGCCGCAGAGCTTCATTCTCTGCACATTAAAGGATAAAAGCTCTTCACACACAGATGGACGTCCAATTAAAGCCCTTTGAGCTCCCAGCAGCTCCCGGCTGTACAAACACTCAGCTCCGTGCTTCATGCTTCATTCGGCTGCTGAATTAAAGTGTGATTAGAGCAGAGCAGGTGATCCCGAGAACAAATTTAATCTGCAATTGGTCCAGAACAGAACCAGTGGAGTGGAGTGACTCAACTATCAGATCACCTTCATCATCAAACAGAAAGCTTTGAATGAACTGACTGTGAAGCATTGAGCTGAAGTTCCAAGAAGTTCCACTCACCCAGTTATGACTCTGAAAATATAATTATATGTAAACTGGTTACTGACTCTTACCTGCAGGTTTTCTACAGCCCAGAAAATGGACAGCTGATTGATTTAAGGCTAGGAACCGAAGCATGTAGCCTGTGCAAGATGCTTTAACTCTCTCACCTTGGTATCATGGATTCCTGAGACCTCCTCAAAGGTCTTTTCCCCCACCATGACGGCGGCGAGGTTGGCAGTGTAGCTGGACAGTACCAGCAGGCAGAAGATAGCCCACAGGTTCATCAGAAAGCGGCCTGTCCAACACTTTGGAGTCTTGGATGACACAGTGCGCCCAAACAGGATGGCATAGCACAGATTCAAAGCAGAAGAATAGGAGAACACCCTCATCCTATTGCGACCATGAGGCGTCATCCCAAATGGGCTCTTCCACTCATACAGAGTCAAGAAGAGCGCCGTGATGTGAAGCGCCAAGAAGATACCCACCCACATTGACCAATGCAGGGGCCACATGAAGGCACCAATGGGAGCTGCGGTGTCCTTACTGCGTACCAGAATGCCCAGACTTGTCGAGAAGAAAGGCGAGGTGAAGTCAATCACGCGGCTGCGGGCAGAGTTGATGCTGAAGGAGGTGACGGCCATGTCTGCCAGACCATTCAGGAGATCCCCCACCAGCCCAGTCCAGCGACCCCCTTTCCATGCACCGTACTTTCCATCTCCAACGATATAAAGGTCGAAGTCGAAGCCTAGGTCCTCGGCAAGCTTCTCCAAGAGGTCAATGCAGTAACCATAGCAACACTTCTTATATTCCAGAGGCAGTGAGCTGCCGTTCCCAGCTGCCAACTCCCTGAAGTACTGCTCCAGAATCTCTGAATTGTTAGTTTCAGCGTCGAGGCAGAACTGGCCTGCAGGGCAGCTAGCATCAGCGTCCACATCCCTTGTGAAAACGAAGGGATGCTCCACCAGGGTCACCACCCGGACCCGAGTCCCCGCCACAGGCATCCCGGGCCGCCAGCGGCCTCCGCTCCTCCCACTGAACGACTCTATCCGGCGTCGGGGTTTAGGACCCTGCCACACTTCCTGGTCCTCAACCTGCAGCTGGCCCCCCTCCCAGCTGCCAACCGTCACCCAAGCGGGCTGCCCCAGTGGATCCCGACGCAGGCTCCAGATGTGGAACCGCTGCTGGGTCAGCACCAGAGAACAGTTGTGATCAACTCGAACCGGACCAGTGAGTCCGGAGAAGGAGATGTTTGCCAAGAACCTGCAGGAGAAAAAAAAAACAGCAGTTGGTCATGAAGAAGACATTAGGTCTTGTTTTTTTTGTTAACGGGCCGCCATTTCAGTTTCAGTTTATTTATAAAGCGCAAATTCACAACACATGTCATCTCAAAGCACTTTACAGTAATCAAATCATACCGTCAAATTTATTCAAAGTTTTTCTATCTAAGGAAAACCAGTTGATTCCATCTACTCATTGACTCGAATGCAGCCCCACCAATGAAAGTATAATGTAACCAGGGATCAAACCCAAAATGGGTTTCTATCAGTAGCAAGTTAAATGAAGAGCATAGTGGCAGTTAATTAAAAGATCCTGTCATCTAAACCAGTTTTTAATCATTCTGTGTTGACAGCCTCTTTAACGTGAATCCCTTCTAGACTTTAGGGGAGAAACTAAACGTCTCAACTCTACTTCTAAAGACATTTTCTTGGCATTAAAAATCTAATTAAGGATAACAGCAAAGCTGATTACCTTGTAAAACATCTCTGGCTGCAGAGGCAATAATCCTTTTACATTTTCATGTATTTCAGTTTCAGTTATTTATTGAGCATCAATGCAGAACAGCCTTCTAAAAACATAACACACTGATCCAGTATAAAGAAATATGCATCCAGTTCGGTCATGCAGACAGATTCCAAGGCAGGATCATCTCTGTGTCTGTACTATCACTGGGATTGACTTCATAGATTCCTCTGATCGGATGAAGAATGACATAAAAACCTTTGATTGGTTGGGGAAGCAGCCCTCTGGGGTACTTTGGTCAACTTAGTTTAAAGTGAACCCTAAATAAATCAGCATCAGCTTTATTTGGCAGATATGTGTACACATGAGGAATTTGACCCTGAATTGTACAATGCCTACAATATGTTTACTTATGTAATAACAGTTTAAAACAACAAACAGAGTACAAAGCAGTACTTAAATTATTAAATGCATAATAAATTATATGAAACAAAGGCTGAACAGAGGTACATTTGCTGGGTTATTGTACAGGAGTTCCTGACACTGTGAGTCTGTCATGATTCTGCCCTTTCCGGACTTTTTGGTTCTGTTTACGTTTTCTTTTTTGGTTCTCAGTTATGCTTTATTTTTTGTTATTCTGTGTTTGTGAAGATTTATATCAAAGAATTTGAAGTCTTAGTTTTACTTTCCCTTGTTATTTTTTTACTTACTTCTTTTCAGCACTTCTGGTATTATTTATTCCTTGTTCTAGTTTTAGTTGTAGTCATTAGTTTTATTTCCTTGAGCTTCATTTAAGTTCTTTCCCAGTTACGGTCAGATCCGGTTGATTTCCGGGGTAATTCTTGTTGTTACCTGTCCAGGGTATACTCTGCCTTGCCCATAGACTGCCGGAGATAGCACCGGCCCCACCGCCACCCTGACAAGGTATAAGCGGGAAACGATGGATGGATTTTTTTGTTGCCCCCTAGTGTCCCTTTCCTTTTCCCTTAGCTCCTTTTTAGTTTCTTCTGTCCCCTATCAGCTTATTCGCCCATTCATTGTTTCTATCTCCCACATATACGCAGCTCCTGTGTAGTTCCTCTTTAGTGGATTCTGTTCATTTTGCATGTGTGTTCCTCCCAAGTGTTTAGGGTTCTAAGTTCCCTGCCAGTTCAGTCTGGATTTTTGCTTCTGTTGCCACCAACTTCATAATTAAACCTACAATAAACCACCTCTGCTGGTTTATGCTGGTTTAAACCACCTCTGCTTCTGTCTCTGCATCTGGGTCCTCTACAAACATGCCCTTAGTGTTTTAGACCTAATAGCTGACCAAGAAATTGAGAAGTCATGGAATTAATTGTTCTGGTCTGTCACTTTGTCTTGATCTAATTACTCTCTGCTTCCCACTATTATTGCTCAATCAGCACACCTGTGCCACTCCCGCTTACTCTCATCAGCGTTCAGTCCTCCCAACTGTGATTTAGCCTTTTTAATCAAGCATTATACCTGTTGATGGGGCCAGATCATTGAAAACCCTTGGTTAGTAGATGTCCTGCATACTTTTTCGCCAGATTTCCTGTTTGTGATCCTTTTTCTGCCCTAAGTCTTTCTTGCCTTTGTCTCACCCATACCAGACCTCGCTGGGTTTTCTGATTTCAGGGTATCAAATACATTTCTGCCTCCTGACCACTGCCTGTCACCTAGCCCCCTGATCTGTAAGCTTGATTTTGCCTCCTCGGTTCCGACACTGTCTCTGTCGCAAGATTTCAGATTCAGGGTCCTCTGTCTGGCATTTCACAGTAACTTGTAAATTCAAGGCGACATTCACTTCTATAATTTAAAATAGTCTGGATCATGGAACCAAAATATTTTCAATCAGGTATGTGTCATACCCGTTGATTTTCTAACAACACCTTTTAGCTTAGTTAGCACTTGTGTTTAAGTGGAGCTCAGGTTGCCATTAAATGGTGATCTGGATTGGATGTAGCAGATAATGATGGGCAGTTTTCTTTTTTTCCCGTCAGTCCTGACTAACCAATGTAGTCCGTTCCTTCATTTTTCATGACAAATCCAAACCAGGCAGTGATGGATGAGTAGAAGAGAGACTGGATGATGGTTGAATACACCTGATCAGCAGGCCTGGCAGACAGAGGGCTGGTGCGTTCCCCATGGTAAGTTGATTAAAGTCTTTGACTGTTATGCTGTGGACCTGGGTGCAAAACAATGGTTGAGTAATGAAAGGGAATTAGGAAAAAAGACTTGGCCGAGATGACTGTTATGTCATTAATGAACTGAAAGAGATTGACTGAGTCCCCTAAGTTGCAGTCCCTGGTTGAGAAAGAGGACAGTGTGGAGAAAACACACCCATGAGGGATGCCAGTGTTGACAGTCAAGTGCTGGATGTGATGTTCCCCAGCCTGTTAATCAGGACGTTTTTTGATCCACCATCAGGTGAAGGCTGGTACAATTAGCTGAGGGAGGGTTGGATCTGTGGATGTCTGGCAGCTGTTCTGCCCAGACTTTCAGACCATCTTGATCTATTGTCTCTACATCTTCTTTACAAAGCATGGATGCAGGAGAAGAGTCTGCAAGATGAGGTAGAAGCATAGCTTAGCCGTGAATTAGGGTTTTTGATTTTTATATGAGCTGTAGGTTTTAATCTGTTTCCACATGTCCTGACAAAAACAGATATAGGAGGTGACAGCATCATCTAGTGGAATGAAAAATGTATAACGAAAGCCAACGTAGAGACAGCCATCCTCAGGGGAAGTAACGTTTGTAAAGCTGTTCGGAATTCAGGTTCTCTTAAGGACTCCAGGCCAGGAGGGGGCCCTAATCAGCTATAATGTCTGCTACCATAGACCCATGGCCCTCTGCTGATTCTTCCATCATGTGAAGGTTTAATTTCCTGCATATCAGGAGTCTCATTTGGTTTGATAGTCTCTTGTAGCTTTAGATTCTCTGGAGGTTCAGGATAATAAGAACATGATAATAGTTTTTTGTTTCCTTTCCAGCTGCATGCAAACAGACCGAGAGCCGAGGGACTCTGGTTATCTGCAGCACTTGTTTCTGCTCCAGCAGCTGGAGGTCTGATAGGGGGACGGAGTTTCAGGCTCTCCAATAAATCCCCTTATGAATAAAACTCAAATCTTTGTTTCCACACAGAGAAATACACCCAACGCATCTTCTTGAATATAAATGACATTAATATGAGTGTTTTTCCAGTAGCTTGGCTTAGAGACAAAAATGGGCAAGTCAGATTCACCCGAGGGTTTTCCTCCAACAGCTGCTGGAACCCATTCATAGAACAACTAATAAAAAATGTAATATGTGGTTAAAGTGCCTGCTAATGTCATTTCTAATCAAGGGTTGGCAGTGGCGGCACTAGAGATTTATTAGTCAGGGGAGCAGCAAAGAGAGACCTCAGTTTTTATAGGGGATCCAATTAAATTTGATAAAGCAAATAATAATATAGATACAAAGTATGAACTGATCTCAGGCTATGGTGACTATATACTTTATATATACTCTAATGCATGTTACTAAATGATTATTATAGACTTACACAGCATATTAATGAACTTATTTAAATTATCCATCACATATTAAAAAAGAAGCTAAAATTAAGCTGAAACAAACCACAGAAAACCTCTTTGCAAGAGGTGACAAAATACTAATTCTGGATTTTTCTAGCCCTGTTATCAGTACCTCAGTTAATACTTTATATAAATGTTTTACTTGAAATAAAACTTATTATATCCTTATTGCACATATTTTTTTCAGTTATACAGAACTTAATTTTGTATTTGTAATAAATTGCTATGACTTGTCCTGTTTATTATAAAGTCAGAATTCTGCCAAAAGTGCACATGAGTAATAAATACACATAAAGCAGTGTTTTTGTATACAAACACATGTAATCTACTATCTAATGTGAATTTTGGGCATTGCATGTGTTAAATTATATAATTAATGCCCCGATTATATCACAAGCGAGCATGCGCCCTATCAGTGCTCATTGCTTGCTTTTTATGTGCTTCTTGATCTTTTTTTACGCGCTCATATCAACATTTGGTACTTTGAAGTTGGCAACCGCCGTAAAAAATTAAAAGCCTGTGATTGGATTCTTTCAGGAAATCTCGCCTCTTGAGGCAGTGGCCGACCGTTTCTTTCTGGTTGCTCTAACATTTGTAACGCATCTTCAGGCTAATCTCTCTTCTCTTTAAGATATGAATTCTGACTTCATAGAAACAGCCACCTCCGGCATTCACTGACAATTTTGTAAACACAATGCTGGACACAAAGGAGGGAATGCTTCATGCATGAAACATTCAAAATGCTTGTTCTGACTAGAGTTATTTACATGTGTGTGTTTAAAAAACTGTTTGTATGAGTATTTGTGAAACGTGTGCCCTTTTGGCAGAATTCTGACTTTTCATATCCTCTATGGGAAGGATTTGTAGGCTCAGACAAGGGCTGAAGGGGATCTGGTTTTGAACCAGTGGTATTTCTTCCTTCTTTTGCAGATTACCTTTTTCTGCAGGCTTCCTCCTGCCAAGACCTACAGCACGCACTGGGACGGTCAGAGCCAGGATGAGTATCAGCTCCAAGTCTGGGGCTGTGGTTCTCATCTATAACAAGGTGTCTTGCCCTTTCAGGTTAGTGTGAGGGGGACTGGTGCCTATCTGCAACAGTCTTTGGGTAAAATGAAGGGCACAACCTGGACAACTCTCTAGCGCATCATTGGGTAACTTTAATAAACATTTTGCATAATAATTTGTTAGAAATACAATGATTATTCTTTATACAAATATTTTAAACATCCATTCTGATTAATATTCCGGTGAATACCTGTCAGGGATTATTCGAACGAATGATTAATTTCTAACTCTGCTTAAAACTCAGTCAGTGGAAACTATTGTTGTTTTTCCTGTGCTGAGAATAACTGTGTGTCTGTAAAAAGCTGCTGCAGACAGAGGTGCTCCTATCTAAATCTTCTGGAACACTGTCTTCATCTGAAAAGAAAAAAAATCAGTTGGTTGAACCTATTGTTCCTGACAGCTAGCTGATGTAGGCATGTCAAACTGCTGCTGGTCTCCTTGAACGAGTGATGAAGAGGAGAAATGGTCTGTGTGCCAGAATATATATATATATACGTCTTTTTTTATCTCTCTGCAAGATATTTTTTCAAACTAGATTAATGGTGACAGAACAAAACCTCTCTCCCCAGGTTGAGCAAGTGTGCGGAAACTCTATGTCCACTGAGCTTAACAACTGGACTTTCAGTCCTGCAGATCATGTAGCAATGCCTGATTGTTTAGGATGAGAAGGCTCTTCTGACAAAACTTCATCTACAAGAATTTAATTCAATTTAGTTTATTTATATAACGCAAATTGTAGCAACAGTAGAGAGGATAAACTCCCTTTTAACAGGAAGAAACCTCCAGCAGAACCAGGCTCAGTGTAAGCGGCCATCTGCAGAGGACGACTGGGGTTCAAGGAGACAGAAGCAGACAACTGAGGTGCAGAGGTTTTGATTTTGAAGAAAGAGAGTAAGCTCAAACTATCTAAGACCGTTTTCTTGGGCCTTCAACCTTTAATGCCTTAGAAATTAAATTGAGTATTTAATAAATCCAGATTCTGTTAGTAAACCAGCCTTTCAGAGAAAGTGTCAGTGTTGGTTCTGTTATGCTTTCTTTTAAGTATTCAGTTTTACTTTGCTCCATGTTTTCTAGTTTTAGTGGTTTAATTCTTATTTTGTTGTGTTCTCTGGTTATTTTTTTTTAGGTTTTTATTTAATGTCCTCTGCTCCCCTCTTGTGTTCTCCTTTTTCCCTAGCTCCTTTCCTGTCTGCTCTGTTCACATCTGCTCCCAATCTGCTCGTTAGCCCTCTCTTTGTTCAGTCTCCCATAAATACATTCCTTATGCAGTTCCTCAGTGCTGGTTCCTCATCAAACTTCGACTTACAGCGTCTTACAGTGTCTTACCTCGTCATGATTGTTTTCCTCTGTTGTCCCCATGCTTTCTGGTTTGTTTACCTTTTTCTTGTTGGATTTTTTGGGGGGGATTTTTGGATTCCTGCCTCAGTTGTTTGTTTACCTCGCATTAAATCTACAAAAACTCACCTGCCTCCCTGCCCCTGCATTTGGGTCCACAAACCTCAACCCAATCCTGACAGCAAGTTATGCTTATATAAGCCGTTTACCATGTAAACGAAACCAAAAGAATCCTTCTCAAATCCATACAAGGTCACCTTTAATTGATATATTTAAGATGTAGGTCTTGGAGTTTCTTTTTTAGTAGGTTGGAGGGGGGTTATGTTTTGCCTTTGCTAGACTCAATCAAGTACAAAACTGAACATAAGTGTTCTTCTGTTTCATGTGTCAGTGTCTGAGAGGTGGTGTCTCACCTGGAAAGGTACTGGCCTGATGTTGCTGCTTCTTGTGTGTGGTAGCAGCTCCCAGTATTCTGGACCAGAGCCAGGTCCGGTCTCTCCATTGAAGCTGCAGCAACAGCTCTTGTGATGAGCTGCAGGGCATCTTTGATGTAAAAGTCGAGGGGCTTCCGGTTGACTTCTCCGTAAGCGAGCAGGCCGAGCGGTAGGCCAATGGTGTGCAGCACATCGGGGCTAAGTGGCTGGCCCAGAACCCAATGCACTGTGGGTAAGGTCAGGCCAAGGTCCTGAGCACTGCGCAGCACTGCAGCAGCACATTCTGGGTCCGCTCCAAACAGCAGTACCGAAGCAGGTGGGGGCTGGTTCTGATTGAAATGTCGGGACAAGAAGTCATGGATCTGGGTGTCATCGTGGGCTGACTGCGTCAGATTCAGCAGGGCTTGTAGTCGCCAGGTAACTGGGCCAGCACCATCCCACGAAGCAAAGGGCTGTGAGTCTAGGAACCGTAGGAGACCACCTGCCTCCTCCCAGCCTCGGCAAAGAACCACAGTCCCTTCCTTCCAACCAGACCGCTGCAGAACCGTCAGCAGAAGATCAGACAGAGCTGACTCTTGAACTCCGGTTACCATCTGGAGGTGGAACTGGTTCTGTGGAGAATAGCAGCAGGAGGAAAATCAAATTAGAACCTAAAGAACTGCATCTTTGATGAATCAGAACATATCAGAATGTTTCATCTGGAAACAATGCAATAAGACGTAGCAGAGCCAGACAGACAGTTCTAATTCTGTTTCAGATATTCTGTAACAATCATAACCAATGTTTAACATTGAAACCCAAACAGGAATGAATATTCTGAGAGCTCAGTGGGACCAGAACTAAAAAACTTAAATTCTCTAATAAAGATGGCGTCACAGAACCGTTGAGTGGGGCCAGAATTGTCAAACTGTAGTCCCCATCTTCTGCTCCTAGCGCCTGCTGTTTTATAAGGTTAACATTGAGAACACTATCAGACTGCAATTTCAGATGGCTTTTACCCTACTGGACTTCATTATTTTTTTGGAAATGACATATAGAATGCTAGTCAAATCCTGGAATACATCTTTTTGAAGAAAACAAAAAAACAATCTACCAAAAAACAATTTAAGCCCTCCATCATAATACCTGAAACATGAAAAAGTAAAGCCTTTATTATGTGTCACACAGAGTACATGTGAAGAAATAGTGGATTTTTGTTAAACTCTGTAATGTGGGCTGTGCCTATATGTACTGTCACCAAAGGACTGTGGCTCCTTAACACCAGTAAGGGACTTTGCAATTTCTCTAAACTAAAGGAAATAACAGGAAGCATACAGACTCCTTTGCCTACCTCCTTCTTTACTGCAAGCACTATTTAGACAGCACTTATCACGGTAAATGCTGATGCACACCCACTATGACTAAAGACTCTGTAGCAATTAAAACATTTCGGAAACAGCCATTGTAATAGAGTTGTTCCTGGTCTGAGTTACCAAGGGAACCCAGGTTACCCAGAAGCGAGTGTTTTTTTATTTTTTATTTAACAGGTAAGGTAATAAGGTTCCTTATAATCAATATTCAACTTAACAGTAAAAAAGAATCAGGTGCAGATCTTAATGGGAAGGACCAAACCAGAACTATATGAGTCAAAAAGTTTATTGAGGCAGCTCTGGAGAAGGCCGTATGGATATCCTCTTAGGGTCCTTTCCTGAGCCATTTTGGGACAGCTGAAAGATCAGATCTTTGGGACACAAAGATCTGATCGAGATGACTGGGTTTCATTTTTTACGAATGTAAATGCATGACTCCACCAGCATTCAAGGATCATAATGGTATGATCAGGGATGCTCTGTCTGGACGCAGTTGATTCAGCTCTGATATTTAAGGAGGGAATTGATCATGGCTCTGCTGAATGTTTGAAGAATTTGGAAGAATTGTAAACCCAGAATCTCATATTCTGATTTCCAAATTGGTTGATGAGTAGATGGTCATAAGGAGAGGTGTTTGTCACTAGCCTGGAATTAATGTAGTTTAAGTCGTAGGGATGCGGCTGTTCCAACTGTTGCATTTCCAGATTCTCCCAAGTGGTGCCCGACTTTACACGACTGAATAAAGTGAATGTGATTGGTCGTTTATCAAGGGGGCTGGGATTGTTGTGGTGGAAGGTTTGCAAGCAAGTTTGATTGTGGCCGGTTTGTGAAAAGCCTCTTGATAACCAGTTAGCAACTTAATGCTAGTAGGTTCCCAATGGGAAATTTCATTGGGACCAAGTAGCACTAAATTGGTGACTGAGAAACGACACTGTCAAGGAACGCTATGGACAGTGGAAACATGCAAGAGGAGGAGAGTTTTGTGATGGAGGTCTTGGATGAGTCTCCTCCGTCATACATTTTTTATCTAGAGGAGGAAAGTGGGGATGAGGAAGTTGTAGAAGTGGACGCCAGGGCGGCAGAAGCTTGGTTTGATGTAGAAGGCTTACAGTCGTACATGTTTGAGCCCTTTCCTCGCAACGCTGCCAGTTCTGTTAGCTCTACGCCTGCTGAAGACACAGACGTCCATCCCCATGAACACTGGGACGGAACTCAGTGGTAAAGGAAATCATTCTTATTACAACCGTAGCTTATATTAGCTGCTACATATGAATCAAGATGCTAGGCCCAAAAAAATTTGATTGACAGATGACCATTGATATATGATTGGCCGAATTTAGGTGTAAAAGCTGACGTTTAACTAACTGGCCTGCTTAAAATAAAGGAAAAAAACACCACAGATTTTAAGACAGGATTCTTTTTTTTAAATAGAAATTTTCTAACTTTTGGGACAATATTGTGTGATAAAGAGTACGTTTATATACATGTTTAAGCCAATGATTTGACATTTAGATATGACCTCCCTACGACTTTAAAGATCAGGATACTATAATCCATATTTTATTTTTTTAGCAGAAAAATACAACATAAAACTTCAAAAATGATTCCAGTCTTATGAGAAAGCATACCGTGTGCAGGGAGCATGGCAGAAGAGGCGGACCAACTGAGAGGTATTGGAGAATTAAACCTGCTAAGGTGTTAGCAGAAGATTGTTGTGGAAAATGGAGAAACTTCAGTTAGATAAATATCTGAATCTAATGTCATGTGTCTAAGAGAAGTAAGAGATTGCATCAAAGATGATATATTGGTAACAAGGGATATGAGTTGCCTGAAGACGGAAATGATGCTGTGTTGAGATAAGAATCAGCCACCATTTATGTCCCCAAAAGGGTAGTTGCAATAACGACAGAACAAAGCTTGTGAAGTGTATAAGAGAGTAAAGTGGACTGTGACTGACTAAAATTGAACTCCCTTGTAATATTTCAGAGCGTAAATAGCAGTGAGTGAGTCTTTTACCAAAATGTCTAATAATTCCATTGATATAAATCCAATAGAGTTGTTCACCTGATGTTTGAAAGTTTTTTCTGCACTGCAGAAATAAGTGTATTTGCCCTTAATTTGAGAAGGAAAATAAAATTATCTGCCAAAGGAATTAGCATTAGATTAGTTATTATGCACTTGAAAGAAGAGACTGCAGTTCTTTTCTTATTTTAAATGTAAATTGTCTTATTCCATTGGCAAAGTAACTCTCTTATCTGCTCAATTCAAGAAAAAATGCTGTTTTTAAGAAAAATTGACTTACTTAGAATTACATTTTTTTGCAGTGTGATGAGTGTTTCTATAGGATCACAGTAGAACCACAGACACAGAGTAAAGCGAAGCTCACTAAACACTGATGCAGGAATCACAGTCCCACCTTGAAGCATCATTTTATGATGCTTTGTACATACTGTATATGATGAAGTGTAAAACTGACAGGAGAGTTTGAGATTCCCTGATTTTTTTTTCTAGAGCCAGAGATGCCCAGAAAGAAGTAGATTTCAGAATAATAAAGGAAATGTATTAAATTGCAATGACCAATGGTCGTTTCTTCGGAAACAGGCTCCATTTCTACCAGAGAGCCCCTATTGTGGAGCAGAACAGAAAGCTGTAACAATTAAAGTAATTGAGGATATTAGGAATGGAATGGAATAAATAACTAAGGTGCCTGAGATCATTGTAGACAATTCCTTCTTGAGGCAACATCAATTGATGATGTCCTTAGGTTTTAAAAATCAGCTGATGATCAAAATACAATAATTCCTTTCTGTAACGGCATGTGATGCTGCTGTTTGCAGTCCCATAACCAGTTCCAGTCTGTTCCCATTCCTGTAATACCTATTTACTTTTGAATAAATTCTTTGAACATTTATTTCTTATGTCTGCCTAATTGTGTTTTGATTTTATGTGCAAGCATCATACAAAACTACTTGTGGAATAACAAGGTGGAGAGGAACAGAGAAGGAAAGGTGAATGAGACCTACAATAAAGAGTCAAAAATAAGGAACAGTGTTAACAGTGAGGAACAGAGGTTGTACACGCAGTGTGTGGATGGGATCAAGAGCAGCCCAGAATAACCAGCAGCAAAGGTAGTGAAAAGGATATTATATTGACAAAAATATAGAGCATAAAGGCAGATCAATTATTAGACTTTGAATTCTGACCTGACATTTGGATCTAAGGGGCAAATTCTTCACTGAAGAGGTCAGAGTATATTAAGGTGATGATTTGTCAGTGAGTACTGGATGAGTAACTTGGCTGCAAGTGGACCTGCTGACTGAAGCTGATGAGCTGTTGGGGGATTCTGAAAGTTTGTGTCATGTGAAAAAAAGCAAGTACTGTATTTACATGCATGGAGGGATTGGGTGGCGTGATGAAAAGATGTATGTGAAGTGTACAAGGTGTGCACCAGGATTTAGTGAAGCTTTTAAATACATGGATGAGTAAACATGGAAGAGGAGCTGAGAATGCTAAGAAGCAGGGGAAGCAGGAGGATGTAGGATCTGGTTAAGGTTGATGTCACCGTGACATTTTCACAGTAGGTTGACTCGGAGAAAGAAGTTGATAGTCCAGGAGCCTGAGCTGTCGAAAATAACCTTTGATTTATTGCTGGTGCAGCGGAATGAGTTGGCTTTCCCTTTTAGCCCACAGTCACATCTTTGATGATGAAGGTAGTGGTAACAGAGGAGGGACACTGGGGCTAAGAGTTGGTGAGTGATGGGAACGTTCTGGAGGTGCGACTCAGTCAGTGTTATCATCCTGATAACCTGATGATTTAAAGGCAGGAGGTTCTGACAGAGACTGGTTTCAATAGCGGGGAGTTGCAAAAGCAGGAGGTTTTAAAATCAGGGAGCAGGAAACAGAAAGAGAAAAAAACAAGTTTAGAAACAGCTGGAGACTTATGCATGTGTGGTTCTGATAGCTTTAAGTTCTGATAGTTGAAGGTTCTGATTGCTACAGCTCTAACTGATTAAAAGCAAGAGGTTCTGACAGAATAAGGTTCAATTAACAGGGAGCCCCAACAGAGAATGGATCAGAAAGAACAGAGTTCTAACCAAAGGAGACTGGCAGAAGCTGGTCCCACTAACAGAAAGGTCCAATAGCTGGATGTTCTAAAAACAGGAGTTTGAATGGTGGGATGTTCTAAATACAGAATGTTTAGACAGAATGTGTTTCTGAGAGCAGCACTTTCTAACAGGATTCTAATAACAGGATTTTCTTGG